ACCCGGATCAACTGCTTGGAAGGCAGCTATGCTGACCATTATACCACCGACGCTTGGATGTTAAATAATCGCTTTATTAGAGTGGTGCTGTWAAGAAAGAGGCGCGTTTACTATRGCAAGGTAGAGTGTAAACGATTTTGTAYAATGGAGTATTCCTTGTTTTAGTAACACTAATTTTCTTTAAAAAAACACTTTTTTAATGAAGATAAGTTGGTCTCCTCTATACTTTTGTATATAGCCTACGTCCCCTACCCCCTACAGAAGAATCCTCAGCTGTTGTAGGATATACCATTGACTTCATTGGATCTCTCTTCGAAGTTTCAAATAGTTACAGCGCAAATAATGAAACAAGAAGGATAAAAAAATAGAAGGATAAAAAAATAGAGGTGCAATATTATGTGGGTGGGGTTAATACTTGACCCTATCAGGTTTTGGACCCGCCCCCTTATGTGTGTCAATCAATTTTGAAACATTTCACAATAGTATTTGTCAATCAGCGTCGGTGGTATAATGGTTAGCATAGCTGCCTTCCAAGCAGTTGATCCGGGTTCGATTCCCGGCCGACGCAATGTTTTTTTTTTTTTAACCAGCCCAATTGTTTATCAAATTTCGTTTATGTTACTGAACTTTTTTTCGGAATGCAATCTTTACTTAACCTAATGCATTTCCCTATATAAACGTAACCTTTCTCGCAATATAATTAATAGAGTCAATTTCGTAAGAGTGGGAAACGTACGGTAGAAATTACAGCACGGTTACCGCACAGTTACCGGACCTGGCCTGCACAATTTTTGTGAAGCAATGAGACACTAGAATTTGGTTGCAATACGATTACGGTCACAGTACAGTACCGTCCGTTTCCCACTCATACGAAATCCGCTCTATTACAARTATTGCAGGATTCTCAACGTTTCACTACCTTTGCTAACTTGGTCTCGAAGTCCATGACTTCTTTCATTTTCTTCGCTGCGTCACACTTTGCTCCTAATAGGTTGGCGACCTTTGTCATGTATTCCACGTATGTCTTTACCATCTAATTTCAGGTTTATAGAGAGAGTATTAGTAGTCACATTTCCCGTATGGAATATAGATGTACGTATGATATAGAAATGGCGATGTTTTACCTCAGGGTGCTTGAAGTAGATCTCCCTTTGAAGACTCAATCCTGATTGGTCCAGCTAATTATAAAAACGTCGACTTAGAATGAGCGCAGAAAATCCGTGAAACTGAAATAGCACTAAATATAGTACTTAATTATGATATTTCATTTGTCTTCTATCATATGRTATTAACACTATTTAGTAGTAATTAGTCAGTACAATTTGTTTCACAGATTTAGTGCGCGCACTCTACATGAAGGCAATAACTAAGATGTAAAACCGCTCGTGTATCTCCAACGATGCGATGGAGAGCACAAGAAAATTKCTAAGCTAACTATTTGAACCATTCCAATCTGTGCAGTGTTTACTAAATTTTAATGATGATAGAAATTATAGCATAAAAACGATAAGAATTTTTTAAAACAATCAGCACTTTTTTAAAAATATTTTCAAAGAGGAATTACTGAACTGAGGCAGTTCTTTAATAGATATGATAGTCAAAAATATCTAAACCGTTGCCGTGACGCTATACGGCTAATGCATTTAACGCCATCTTCAACCATTCGTACTGATTTTTTTTACGATTCGTTGAACTGACACACCCTCCAATWTCAAGAAGGAATTTCGCGTTTTTAGGGACTTTTTTCAGTTGTTATAAAAGCGGGGGGCGTAAATGATAAAATTTTCGTCAAAGATTTTTCAGTCACTTTTCTCACCTTTATTAGATGTTTCGTCGARTTCAGATGATCGTTTGTCACTTCAACAGAAAAAAATGGCGTCGCTGGATAATACGTACTTTGCAGAACTCTCAGTTGTCTATATATATCCCAATTATCTTTATCCCATCCCTCGTCACCGCATATACTCCATGATCCAATGTCACGAATATACTCCTTCACGGGCTCGGCACCTTGCTTCTCGATAAGCTGGGTGTTCATGCATGAATGGTAAAAGTCCTTCGCTTTTCGCAGCGCTTCGTTTTCTGGTAATGTTTCCATTGTTGATGGCTCCTCTAACAAATCTCTAAGCTGTCTTTCAATATCCTTGGAGAGGCGAGTGAAAGTGGAGTAGTCGTTGTAACTCTTAGGTATCGGATGTGTTTTGATCCATTTTCCGCACGAGAACAGGAAAAAATCGTCGCATGGTTTTACGCTAGTGTCTATGGCACTTTTTATTCCCTCCGCAACTGTGTAACATTCGGGTGTATTACAGATATTTGCATTCACATGCTCTGGTTCATCCACCTCGGAGAAGTTCACTTCATCTGGTCCGTGTTTATGCAATCTACTWTGCGTTTTTGTTTGTGTTAACCCAATTAAACCAGTGGTAACGATGCAGAATCCMATCAGCCACAGCCTTGCATGGTTAAAAGATATCTTCATTTCAATCAGTGCAACCAAAATTCAAAAACTACGAAGGGTAAACTCATTAAAACAAGCAGTAACTCTGGAAATTTCTCTTGTTATTCCAATGTGCAGTTCGTCATCAGTAAAAGTGTTTTAAGACTCACAAACCAAGACATTGGTCGGGTCGAGTCAGTGTTTATTATTAGTCGGTGTTTGTGATTCAAGTCATTCGGTGGTTGGTAAAATCATCAGACTACCTGCTGAAAGGTCAATCGAGTCTATGCACGTGACAAGATCAGCCAATCACAGCCTTGTGCGAATCAAAGCATGGCTTGGTTTTCAAACCAATGTTCACCAAATGTGCCAATGTAATTCCTGTAGCTACAATGAGGAAATGTTTTTGGATAATAATGCGCACAATATATCCTGAAAACGATCAATAATCCACAATGTTTATTGACTAACTTTTATTTTCTTTTTCGTAWTTTTTTTACATTCTTGAAAAGGTGTTTTGATCTGCCGACCATGGAACAAATCACTGACCCATTGACTAGATTAAGGTGAAAAAGCGCCCCGAGTGTAACCGTTATGAACGTTGGTGTTACAGGGACACGCCAAACACGCTTCATGAAGCACTAGTCTGCAGTGTTTTACCGTTTTTTCTCCGTCTACCATAAAAGAATGATAAGGGTACTGATAGTTATTTATACCCTGTGACAAGTGGGTTTTTGTTTTAAAAATCATTAGAAGACTTCAAACTTGTTGTTTACTCTGTTGTTCTCTATGAAGCAGTACCATCTGAGTAGCCTGATAGCAAAGGTTAATTTCTTTATTTCGTCGAGGAATAATCACTCAATTTGAAATGTTTGTGACAAGAATGCCGCTTTTTCTCATGGCCAGATCTCAGAAATTAGTTTTGCTATTAAATGAGTGCGCAATATTTGCTATATTGAACATAAACCAGCTATTTTTCTTCTTGCTTGCTTTTTTCTTTCTTGGGCTTCCTTTTTTCCCTTGGTTTGTTCCAAGCCCAATTGCAATTCTCGATTGATTCCTCCATGAGAATTACTCCAGAATAGCTCTAATCGAGCCGCTTTCGAGCTTTGAACAACCCAGTCCCGTGTTACTGAAATAGTCATCTTGTATTAATATATATGATAATCTGTTATCTATCATTGGTTCCATTCCTGGAAGTTTCATATTATTGTACATAGGTTTTATACATACATAAGTATTATTTGTTTGTACATTAGTGCTGGAGAGCCCTTTGGGAGCATTAATAAGTTATTATGGATCATTATTATTCAATTGCGGGCGAAAAATATCACGTAAAATGTAAGTTTCAATTGTACAAAGAGTTGCTATGGTTGCTATAATCTCCTTTAGTTACCATGGTGGCTTAACCCCCTTAAAGTTTTAATTATTATTTTAATTGGGTCTTTATCATTCGTTTTTACACGTTGCAAATCTTTAGTGCCAGCTCTGTAACGTGCATAACAGCCAAAGAGAATTTGAAGCAATCGTGAGTCGGGAATCATAGTTTCTACAGACCAACAATTGACAACGGGTAAAAGAGCAGGTCAAAAACTGGTTATATGAAGTGTGCTCATGCGCAATAAACACGTTTTCTTGAAATACACTATAAACTGGTTTCACTGTTTACTGAAGATAAGTCCTTGCTTGAAACCCCTGTAAGGAAGAAGAAACGAAGGCAACTGACCTGTAGMTGTTGAACTGGGCCGGTATCTTTAGAACGGTAAGTATATATGATTTTAAAACTGTTCCTCTCTTAAAAGCAGGAGTTGCTATTTCATTTCATGAATAGAGTTTATTAAACACTCCGTGTATCAAGATGAAAAATCGTTGGACACGACATGACAACTTTATGCACAACTCATTCTCATAGAAGGATTATAAAGTCATAATATCTGACAGATACAAGCCGAACGTCGGATCGACTTACGTAATGGAAGCCGATGTGATCACTCSGCGTATCATTCTTGCATACATGTAGGTCTTAACAAAAGCCCTGAGAGTTTCAATTAAATTTCAATTTATTAAAACTTAGAAGTAGGTATGATACAATAAAGTAAGTAAATAACAAAATAGATATAGATAAGCAAAAAATTACAACTAGTAGCGAGGAGATAGCCAATCAAACGGCCACTTCTTACGAAGTTWCTCWAMTGTAATAAAGTTCCCGGATGCTCCACGTCACTCGGGCTTGGAACTTGAATCAAAATGGCGGATGTCAATGACGAGAGAAGTGCAGATATAAGAGAAACAGATCTTAATGGCGACGTTATTCCAGGAGCAATAGGTACRAGCGCTACTTCGAGRCTTACTTTTGACGATGACGATRCAGGAAAGTTTCCTCAAATGGAAGAAATGCTAAAAGTTGCGACGGACTTGCAAGGCGGAGCGAATGTTGATGATCACCGTGTCACCGGTCAATCTCCGAGACTTGAATTTGAAGAAGCAGGTACTAAAGATGATTTTACAAGCTCTCTAATTGTTTCCAGTACTGTGTGTTATCTTAAAACCTTGTTTGGCTTCCCGGAAGTGTGTCTATATTTTTCTTTTGTGAAGCCACGAAATGTTGCCGTTGTATCGTAAATTTGAATTTGATGAACATTAGACTCGATGCTTCATCAGAAGTGTGTAGAATGCTTGATTCTTATGGGGAACAGTTGTTGATCAGTGATCCAGAAAACGTATCCAACCATCACTTTGCAGTGCTWCTGTCGGCCAGTAAAAACTTTATTAATTATACTAGTATAGTAAAATAGTATTGAACTTGTCCCACTGTGAAAATTCTCAAATGTACACAATTTAAGCTATAAAGTTATAACGACAGATATTAATTTTCAATTTAAAGTTTGCGACATTTAATCAAAGTGTACCTTTTTTTGRTTTGGTCTTTTTCTTTTCTTTTTTAGAACAACATTTTGAAAATTTGTTCTACATTAATATCTGCACATGTGACAACATGTTACATATTGATGAATAAATAAATGTGTATGAGTCATTTACAGTCGGTGGAAAGTGAAACTGAAATTTCCTTTTCCTTTTAAAGTGAAAAGTAACGAYATTTTGGACARCCAGTAAAGTTACTTTGTCATGCAATACTTTCAAATTAACTTAGCTCAAAAAGTGYTCRCTCACCCCRTGCTGACAAGTCTTGCTTGACCACAATGTCATCAGCATTTATAAACTTTTACTCAAKTCACAYCAGTGGTGATATCCAGTAGTGATGGAACTGGTCTACAGGAAAACAATTGCTTTTCATTGTCGTCTTATAATATTATGGTACACAAGACGTCCAAGAATAATAATACAATTAGTGGATGAATTTGACACACCASTGGAAACAAACAATTTGGCATACTAAGAGATACCAAAATAAAAGCCCAGAAAATGTGGCTTCATGTGGCTTRGAGACAATAGTCTRGCRGTGGTATTGAGAGAAGAACCAAATTTACATAACAATCCTAAAGATTAAAAAATTCTACTCATAGTGCTTGGTGTTGTTGTCAGCATTAGAAGGACTTATTTTTTTCACTTCTCATGTGGTATTATTGATATTTCAAAAATGTACCTTATTCATGCTAATTTTCATTAATCTTTTATTTTTGTGATTTGTTAAAAAATGTGAAATTAAAGAGAGAAAGAATTTTCTTGTAAAAATATGCTTTGGATATTATTTTTTGTGTAAAAACATGAAAATTAATGCTTGGGAAGTATAGTATGGCTGTTTTGATTTCCTGACTTGTAATAATTGGTATGAATACAGCACATCGCAGTAACACTGTGTTCATCTAGTCTGTTAAATATATTCATTATTGTAACAGTTGACTATTTTAGTTTTGTTAATTAATAACGTAAACCCTATGGCGAATTCAAATAAGTGAAACATAATGTGTTGATAACTTTTTTTGGCTAAGACTATCCTTATCTAATATAATATAAATATATTTTGTTTTGGCACTTAAATTTCCCCTTAAGACTGCTGCATTTTCATGTTCGGGGTCCAATATCACAAGGGTACATCTRTGTAATCTCTAAAGTGCATTTATTTTTATTATTTTCAATTTAAAATGATTCAAGACATTGGTATGTTTTTCTATTTTATAGGTTTTTTCATTTTAGGAAGCAGAATTTTAAAACAGAATATGAGATTCCAATCTTTACATTTTTTTAATATAAGTACCTATTAGGTGATAATATTCTTGTAAAATGTGTTTAATACATGTATTTTTGTGGTTTATTGTAAATGAACATTAGCATAGAGTTATTTGATAGTTTAGGCAGAAACAGTAGAAATTTAGATTTGATACAGCCAAGGAAACTGTATCCAGTRCACCTGTTTTTTAATCATTTATCAAGTGTTTTTCTCAACATGTTACTAATTGATGTATCAAGTTGACATTTCAATATTTCTCCTATTTCATCAATGTGTCATAATATTTTCAGCTTCTATGAATATTTTACAAGATTTTTATTATTTGTGTATGAAATTTCCTCCTAAAATGTTAGCATCACAATATTTTCAAATATCATTATAAACTATGACAGTTCTGAATTTAATTGTAAAATGTTATGACTAAAGTATGGATTGATGTTTTCAGGTCCAACACAACAGACATGGCAGCCACCGCCTAGCTACCACGACCCTGAAACTACCGGCATGAATCCACAAGGTCACCAWAGTATGTCTGGCCCTATAGTTCATGCTTCAGGAGGTCAAAAGCTTGAAACACTAAAGAAATGGAGTATATCAACRTATAAGTRCACAAGGCAGTACTTGTCTGAGAGACTTGGAAAAGGTTCAAAGACAGTAGACAAGGAACTGGAAGCACAAGTTATACTTCTCCGTGAAACACAAGTGAAATATGCTCAAATGTTACGGCTTTCAAAGCAGATGACCCACCAATTTCAAGCTATGCTTAATACGCAGAAATCTCTCGGTGACATGTTTACTGATTTAGGGATGAAGTCACCAGAACTGCAAGATGAGTTCAGTTACAATTCTGAAACCCAAAAGTCTTTATTCAGAAATGGGGAGATATTACTTGGTGCTTTACAATTTTTCAATTCAAACTTGGAAACATTAGTTCATAAGACTATGGAGGACTCAGTGATGACAGTAAAGCAATATGAGTCAGCTAGAATAGAATATGATGCATACAGATCRGATCTTGAGTCTGCACAGGCCCTTCCTCGTACTCCTGCCACGGCACCCAGGGTKGATGAGACCAAAAACCAGTATGACCAGCAAAAGGTCAAGTTTGACAAATTGAGAGGGGATTTGGCTATTAAACTTAGATTTCTTGAGGAAAATAAGGTAAGTTAGTATCTAAAAACTGAATTTTTTTAAGATATGAGAAGGTTTTAGGTGTATATTTTCTTGATACTTGTCTGGTAATGTTAAAGGGTTGTCCAGTTGAATACTCAGTCCATGTCAATATTATTATTATTATTATATATTTAAAATATACATTTTCATGCAGGTATTTTTCATTGGCCAAGGGTTATCTATAAATTCCTGATCCATTGACCAAATTAGTTGCCTGGTAGGATAAATGATAAGATCTTGTCAACTGTAATACCCTGACAGAATTTCAGTTTGACTGGTCACAGCTTATTCAGGCTAAAATAATCTTTGACCAATATTTTTTGCCCAGCCAAGTTGAATACAATGTAGACTTCTCAACTTGACAACCTTGAATTCGCAGTCCAACAGCTGTATAGTATTAAATGATTTAAAAGTTAAAACTGACATTATTATTTCAGGTGAAAGTCATGCACAAACAACTTCTACTGTTTAACAATGCCATCACAGCATATTTCTCTGGAAACAAGCAAGCATTAGAGGCCTGTGTTAAGGAGTTTCACATCAAAATGAAAGCAAAAGAGTCAGAACATTCTTCTTTTTTAGAGCGTTGATTTGGTTCTTAGAATAGGATCTTTTACARAATATTGACTGGACTGTAATGAGTAATTTTACTAAAGTGGGAAATTATCTTGAAATTTTAATAATTCAATGATTTTAAAAGGCAATAAACTAGCAGTATAAATCCTACAGAGAACTTTTTTGCAGTTTTTCAACTATCTGTTCTACAGAAAGAATTATTAGAAATCTCAAATAATTTACATGTATAATGTATTTGTAACTTGAGAAAAAAATCTTTTGGATCTATTCAATAATATTGCTCTTACACAGGTACTAAAGCAGTATTTTAGTTTGTCACAACATTGAGATGTAAAATATTCAAATATGAAGTATAATGTTGTACAGTGGTGGGAATGATGTAATGTTCCTCAAGCATCCAATTTTCATGTATGTACCTGATAACAGTGTGAGAAATAAGGGACATGTTTTTTACTGTATTAGATTTTCGTATGTTGGAAGTGATGAAGATTTCTATCAACATTTGGCATACATCAAAAGTAATGATAATTCTATTAGGGTTAGCACCAGCAATTGTATAAATAATACAACTGTACTTTGTAAATTGCTGTTACTATATTAAGTGATGYTAAACATGACCATGACTTGAATAAAGCTGAAAAATTGTTATTAAACAAGGCTCCAATTAATTGTTGTATTTTTCAACAAAGTTTTACGTCTTTGGTGACCAAAATGCATTTCCCACTGTAAGTGTAAAAACACGACAAGTGATGCAACAATTTTTAAAAATAACACAACATGTTTTTTTAATTTAAAAATTTAAATGACATCCACAAAGGCATCTTCAGTTTTTATGCCATTACAATTTCAATCAGTTGCATACTGTAGTAGTTGTAGATAATAATTTACTGATATATAATTGATTGAAAATTGTAATCACTGAATATGGCTTTRTGAAAGTGGAAACATGTCTTTTAAATGTTGCACCACTGTAAATGATGCTACAGTTTATATTTAGATGTTTAGTCAGTCTAAAGTCATTTTCTTTTATGTGTAACTTCATTCTCTGTTTAGTTCTCAAGAAAACACATGTAGTTTTTCCATTTCAGAAAAYACCAGTGATGTCATTCAAAAACTTGCAAATTATTGCATAATGAAGGTATTTTTTTCTATGTTATTGGCCCACTGTTAGTGTTATCAAGAAGACATAATAAATATCTTGCAAACAAAATCTTGAAACAAGAAACCACATAGATTATGGAAATGATGAAATTGAATGAACAACTATTATAATAAACAAATATGGCATTCCTATTAGTGTCTAAATTGCTAAGATAGGGTTAAAAAAACACCTGTTTGATGACTTGTGTGGCTTTTGATAATTGTTTTCAATACATTAAGGTGTAAGTTACATTCAATTCTTACCATAATCATATGGGGTTGGGGCCTTTTTTTCTCTTCCTTCCTATTCCATCACATTTTTTCATACTTTTTCAGATACTTAATATTTATGTGAACTTGAGGAACTTCACTTGTCTCTAAAGTTTGAAATCTAAATTCGCAATGAATAACTTTACACTGTATATGAGCTTAGTGAATTTTTCCTGTCAGCGCTGTCAGCGCCGTTGTAGTTTTACCATATGGTTCAGGATACCTGTGGTTTTCTGACTGAGTTTGCGCAAGAGGGGTGTTTGGAGGAAATCGAGCAAGGATGGGTTTCAAGTGATGCTAAGGAAGTGACCAGCTTTCCGTAATTTCTACCATGGAACAGCCAGTTTAAGCTTAAATTCTTTAGTCAAATTCGTGGAATTTAGACAACTGCATCATGTACTTTGAAGCAGAGCACGAGCGAACGATCAGGATCGCGGTGATGTCCAAAAGAGCATTGGGCAAGAACAAAGTTTTGACACAAACTAACTGGAAAGAGCGGGTTTTTATACTAACACCACAGAAGTTATCTTACCACGAAGGGACAGCAGAGGTCAGTATGTTGTTGTCTATTAATTACAGCTTTTATTTGATAAATTTAACAGGTTTTTGTTAAAATTGTCCTTGCAGAACTGCTCTCTTTGCGCATAAAACTCTAAGTTAAGTTATAAGCATGCAACAAGTCGCCAAAACTTTTTATAAACTTACGCCATCTGTTGTGGGATAAAGCTTAAAGTTACGTCGCTTGAAGCTGTCATCTTTTGCAAATTTGTTTGCTTTTCGTGTTTTATAAGAATGGAGAATGTCACTTCTTCGCTTTTTGAAAGTAAAGATTTTGGCTTCCGTTTACCAATGTCTCAACGCCATTTGCGGTTAAAGATTTCCCCACTTTGGCTTGGTTATTTTTACCTCGGCATTCGTTTGTTTTTGAATATTCAAAATATTAATCAAAAATCTATAGCGAAAGAGAGCCGGGATCAGGAATTCAAAACAATCCAACAAGTACATGCAAGATTTTTGCAAAAGTATTACCACTGATTAAGACGGAAATAAAAGGATTTTTGATTTCTTTTATGTCGGGTTGAGTAATTGATTTCTAATCAAAACGTTTTGTCGGTTTTTGTTATATAATTAATATTCGAAACATTATATTTCTTTTTTTTGAAAACAAAATCTCTMATTTTGTTTCAGCTGATTGCATTATTTTAATCAGATCTATTTGCTCTCAGATGCCTTTCATTTTTAGTGTAATTATCATATTCATTTCTTAGCAATTTGTGTATATATAAGTTTTATTGAGTTTGTGGCACCTTATCTGAGTGACCAGAAAAAAAATCTAAGATCATACACAGCTATGACATCAAACTACAAGGTTCATATATTACATCATAATATAAAGATTATTATTTTTATTATTATTGTATATAATATATCTATAGAAACCTGGAAAGTGTAAAGGAGAAATAGAGCTCTCTAARGTGAAAGCTGTTGAATTTGTTGTGGACCAGACTTTTGACAGACAGTATTGTTTCCAGGTAAGATCCTAAATACATTGTACGATCCAGTCAGTCTTTTGCTGCATCTAATCTAATTGCATGCATGTCAATAACGAGTCATTTGCAGCCTAAATCAATTCAATATAATTTACAGATAAACTGAAATTAGCCTGTCAGTGTCCATAAATTCTTAACATGAAATGACCATAAACTCAACTCCAGCCATTAGAATAGATAAGCAACTATCAATAACAACTAGAAAACATAGCAATAAATAACCTAATTGTATTTGATAAACTTTGAAAATACTTAGTCTTTTTCACCCATTTGAATACAAGACATTCCAGTTTTAAACTCCCTAAAAAAAAGGGCAAAAAAAAAGGGCAGGGGTCCTCGTCAGAAATTCTGAAAATGACCCCTAAAAGGGACCAGTATTGTGAGATGATGAGTGTGGCAGGGCTAGTCCAACTAAAAAATCTTTTAATACTTCACATAGTTTATATCGTTTCTTTATTTCCAGGTAGTTTATGATGAATATATTTTATATGTAACAGCCACCAACTCAGATCAAAGAAAGGACTGGATGGAATTGTTAAGAGATGGTTGGTACTGCATTCATTATTTTTTTCAAGAAATTGTTTGATCAAAAATTTATTAAATAATTAGAATTAATATTAATCAATTAAAACATTGATTAATCAGTTCATCAGATTAATAATTAATGAATTAATTAAATTAGAATATGATATTAATTAATTTCATTTTGAATTGATTTGGAAATGTTTATTAATTATTGGCACTATTAGGAGGGTATTTCTTAAGAGTCTATTTGACAATGATAAAATTAATATAAATATCTTGACAAGCCTGGCTCTCATTCATCCTATTCTACCTAAAACTGTCAGCTTGTCCTGGATTTTGGCTTCAATACCTTCTGCTTCTTTGACTTTTTTTAGAAATCCGTGAAAATAAATTTCTACTCATGAAATATCATCCTGGTGCATATCTRAATAGCAAGTGGTCGTGCTGCAATGAGAAAGATAAGGCTGACAATGGTTGCCAAGATACTTTCATAAGTATTGAGAAGATGGCATTTCAAGGTGAGGAATATCAATTTTACTACATCTSACTTTCTTACAGTAAACAGATTGACACTTTGACTATCATTTGTTGAATTTTCACTCGATGTGGAGAATAATAGCGTGCTGGAGACTATATTTGCATTGCAAATGAAAGATGGAAGATCAGGTTTTGATAATAAGTGTACAATGTTAAAATTGTAGTTTTCTGGCACAAATGTASCAACCTATTGTGTCATTGTTCTTTATGTGGTCATAACCTTGGAACAATAATTATACCTTGAATTGCAATACTTATCCTCTAGTCAGATAAGATTCTCAATGCCATTGCTGTGTTAGTGCTATGGTAGAATTGTTGTTTTTATTGCCATTTTAACCATACAGCAATTAGCAGTGACTTTTCTACATCCATGCAAAATCTTGTCTATGAATTAAAAATTTTAATAAACTTATATGCTTTTAATTCATTGGTATTAACGTGGTTATCATAATTGGGGGAGGGATGGGGACATTGAACACTGTAGTGGTTGTAAAACTGAAAATCTAGGATTTTTTCAAAACTATTGCAATCCTGCACACAAAAATAGAATCTAGTCAATACTTTGCTCAATCCTGCAAACTCCTAGCCCACTTCTATATAATTATATTTATATAATTTATTTTATACACATGTATGATATTTTTCCATGTACACTGTAAACTTTGAAAATATTTAACCAAGAATTAATAAACACAAGAATTGTTGGAGTTTGATGTTCACATTTTTAAGAAAAATTGGTTTTTAGTAAGTCTTATTGTATGACAGTGTTGATTTTCAGATTGCTTTCAGTATTAATCTGATTTTATGACAGACAGTGTTGACTTTCATTCTCTTTCTCTGGCATTTCATGATRAAGGCAATCAAATTTAGAGCAACCACTTTTACAATGCTTAAAGATCATARATATAAACTGTTGTTCTAAGCCTTATGTGTCTTTATCATGGTGGAGGCCATTTGAGGAGAAAGATGGTATTTTGTGTTATAGTTTTTTTTTGCAAGTATTGACTTCTATAGCATTCAACCTATATCGTACATGTACATCAAGTAACTGCATGCTGTTTCTATATTGTTTCCCCTAACTTATAAGATATAATAATCAATAATGAATTATACAAGATTGTGGCGCTGTTAACTAAAAATGTTACAACTATTAATACTAATAATTAATCAATAAAATAATGATTACATTTGTAATTGGTGTTTTTATATGGTATGTAAGTAAAGTCCCTACTAAGTTAGCTACYAGCATTTCATCCCATAAACTAACATGAAATCTGTTTTTGTTCATTTGACTTTTTATTTTTTAACATTGATTTTTAAAGTAATTTTGTTTTTTTGTTAAATATTGCCCTTAGGATTCCGCTGATCCTGTGTAATTTGCTCTGGAGGCTGTTCAAGTTTTGGCCAAAGTGTGCTAGGATAATAGTTGTATAATRTAACAATTAATTTAAGTTGTTAATAGTACTAGGAATGGTTTAATAATATGCTTTAAGCTAAGCTGATGAAATGCTTGTAGCTTGGAAGGGAAGATACCATCAAATGTTATATAGTGAAAATATTATTGATATAATTATGCCTTTTCACAAGGAAATTTCAATGTTCTGTAACTCTGATCGTTATCTAAGAAAGTTCAAGATGGGAGCAGAGTAACCTCTTGTTATACAAGATTCTGACATGGAATTGTTTGTGAACAGGCCTTGTACAGTTATTGATTGTCTAGCATAATGACGTCATGTGCATTTTGGCAAAGTGTATCATGGTATTGATAGAAGTATGGACAAAGTTCTTTGCGTCATCGTTAACTGTCATTGAAATGCTTTGGAAGGACACTGGTGAAAAACACACTGAGCATGTCCACAGCTTTCCTTCCAGTGAGCGCGCACGTCTTGAAATCTGCCTTAATTTAACACAGAAAACACTATGAAAAACCTCATTTTCTCAAAATAGAAATGACAAGATAAAAATAGAAACTACATACTAAAAGAACCTATCATGAACAAAGATTGATGGAAATATGAATCTTATATATCGGTTAACGAGCTTACAAATTGTAAAAAAACTTTCACAAAAAATCGCCAGGTGCTCTGTTTACAAATAAATTAGATAGATTTCAAGACGCTCACTGGCGGGAAAGCTGTGGACATGTGCAGTGCGTTTTTCACCAGTGTCCTTTGGAACAATCTTGTACCCAGAGCCTGTGATTCTTTTCAGTCACTGCCGAGTTCTCGGGTACGAGATTGCCTTTGGAAGAGCAATATTGTAATGTAAATGAGTATGTTGAAAAAGTTATCCCAAAAAGTCTGGAACACAATAAAACACTATTCATTTGATAAAACTACATRAATTGGCTTCTATCAAACTCATGGTGCATTTAGCCAACATCACTAGGGCAGTAAGGACCATGGGGTCYTAATATTTTATCATGAAAATGCATTGTACTGTCTGGGAGGTCCRTATAGGAAAACASTGCSYGAGGTCTTGACAGTACRGAACRAGCAYAGAGAGGTCCATAAATAAAAGACCGAGGGCAGTGTTTTCCTATAAGGACTGACCTATAGCTGGTAAATAGCATTTWAWTWATTTTTTTAATTTGTATTTTATGCAACTTTGCTCGCAGCCTAGCTGCAGGATACTGTGSACCGGGCAGATCGTGAAAAACCGGAMCGCACGCTAACCAATCACAGCGTGCAAATAACTCGGATACCGGTCCAAAAAAAAGATGTATGCTTTTATAAATAGAAATTAGAACTATATATTAATATAAGCTTTTTTATATGAAAAACATGTTAAATTCATAATATCTTGGAGATATGTAGAGTTTCATAGATTTTATCAAGACAAATATTTTAGATAAATAATGCAGTTTTAAAAGACAAAGCTCTGAATTGATGTTGACTTTGACTTATTTTTTGTCTTCTTTTGATGTCCTACCTGCAGCTTCTAGACTTCTGAATCTGACACATTCATCATATTGATAGAGTCAATTTCGTTGAGTGGGAAACGGACGGTACTGTACTGTAACCGTAATCGTACTGTAATCAAATTCTAGTGTCTCATTGCTTCACAAAAAATTGTGCAGGCCACTGTGCGGTAACCGTGCGGTAATTTCTACCATACGTTTCCCACTCATATGAAATTGACTCTAAGAAATGGCTTTCATTTGCTCTTAGCTTCATCTATTCAGCTGCTGTCTCCACTGTAATATAGAGCATTAGTAATTAGGACAGACCTTATTTGTGAGGTTGAAAATATTTATAGTTTGTACATCTATCATGAAAGTAGTTGCTGGACAACTGAGTTAATCAAGTTAATCGTCTGAATTAATTGTCAGGAGATAGCTATATGTAGTTAATGACAGTCTGTTATTGTGCTTTATATTTACCAACAGCACAGTGAGAAATTTACTGTGTTATTCAAAAAGTGCATTCTGTATCTGAAACATATACAGTACAACATTTACAGCACAAAAGAGAGGGCGAGAGCAGTATATTATCTCTTCTCTTGCTTCTTTATTGTTTCACATCAATCTCTCATCTTTATATATAATATCTATAGGTGTAATATTATTGAAAAAAAGCAAAATGCTGATCTTAAATTGTGATTAATAATTTGATAGAAGTTATTTTTTTATTTTGAGCTTTAAAAAACAATTTTTACAGGATGTGACTTGCTGCAYGCAACTTGATGTTCATGACATAATCATGTTAGACATTCATGCACTGCCTATAAGTTACATGTCTCAAGCTTTTGAACCTACATGTGCATGTGTAGACAAATAGAATGCCAAAGGGATAGTGTGTACACATCAAGTTACATGTGACAAGTTGCACTGAGTACAAATCAATTATAAGTTGATGTATGACTGCTAATATTTTGTAATTAATGTTGAATTTTGTAATTAATGTTGAGATAATGATTTTATTGGAATAATAATGATATTATTTTAACTATTATTTTTGTCTTGTTTTGTTTTGTTTGTTTTTTTTAATGTGAATTTCTTGCTTATTTGTTTTGGTCAAAGGTCAAGCTGTTTCCTGTTGAATTGATGTTTTGCTTCTTTTAACACAGCCAAAGAAAATATAGCTAAAAATGAAGACAGAGCATTCATAGCAAATCAGCCTYTACCTCCTCTCCCTGGCGAGGCACCAAAAGTAAGATATTTAGACATTGCATSCTCAGTTCATGATTCAGATCAAGGGTTGTCTACCACTCTGAAAAGTTCTTTCATAGCCTATCAACCTGATAACATAACAATACATCTCATTGAGATAGAAACAACACAATGAAATACATGGAGGGGGAAGGAGAGGACATAATATTGTATACTCTATTTTGTATTGGCCTGTGTCTGTCTTTCTAAATTATGCAGATCATATGAATATATGCATTAAAGTATTAAAGTAAAACTCAACTTTTTATTGTCTTTTTATAGGAAGTAGCAAGAAAACCATTTGAGAATGAAAGTTGCATAGAAGTAGTTGTAGCTGTTTATGAATTCAAGGGTGTTGAACCTGGCGATTTGTCACTTTCCTGTGTGAGTATCCAATTTTCTTTAGTTGGTCYATTTTCCCTGAAGCATTATAATAATATTGCATTTYATTGCYCATTAAAAATTTGGGTGGTTCATGAATTGTTTTGAGCCATTCTCTGGTAGTTCATACGTTTTTCCCTAGTACATCCTGTATAWGTGGGGCAATGGACATTTCCATAATTTACCTTTTGTTGGTAGCTGAATATTTTATTCAAATGGTAACACTTTTTCCTACATTGTATATTTTGTACAGGGAGAACTATTTGCTGTTCTTGATAAGTCGGGGGAACACTGGTGGCTTGCAAAGAACACAAGAGGGTAAAGACTAAATTATTTTTCCTAAGGGGGTGGGGATGGGTTTTTTTTTTTGTCGTCTATATTTGGGTTTGAAATCAGTTGGTTGGTCTCACTTAGGGTGAGTTATAAATGACAATAATCTAAGTCAATCTACTGTACATTAATTTCTATATTTTCTTGCACAGCGATCAAGGTTACATTCCAAGCAACTATGTCAGAAAGCAAGGATTAGAGAGTGAAAGGTTTGTGCTGTTTTCTTTAAGTCAACTTTATTGTGAATGTTTTAACTAAAGGTTTAATATTATTAATACCTTATTTGTCTTTTTAGTTGGTTTCAACCTGAGATGTCAAGACAGCAGACTGAAGATGCCCTTAGAACTGAGGTATAGATTGAATTATCATTGAAGATGATAGTTCAATTCATAGCCTTTCTTCTAGCCTTTTTCTACTTTTTAGTTATATCTCCTTCATTTGTAGCCTTTTTCTATTTTGTTTCCCTTCCTGTTGTTTTGTCAAGAGCACAGTTGTCCTAAAACGGAAGCTGTCTGAAAAAGGACTCATCATGTTTATTAACTAAAGGTTTCAAGAATTTTCATGGAGCTGCAGCTTAACCTTTTTAAAATTTTTTATCTCAGATCAAATATCAATCAATCATTTAATTCTATAAATTATATAATTTATTTAATAATTCATTACATGGTTATTACATGTTCTGTTCTCAGGGAAAAGAGGGCTGCTTTGTTGTGAGAAAATCAAGCAGAGAGGGAATGTACACTTTATCTGTTCTGTAAGTAGTTTTATGTTGAAAGAATTACATTTGAACAACCTTTCTGTGTTTGAATATGTAATTTTCTTTAGGTAGCTAGGAATGATTTTCATAAAAACCCTGATTCAAATGGTAATAGCCAATTAAGTATAATGAACAYTGCTGAAAAGCCATGGGATTGAAAATCCATAAATTAATAACTGTAAATTACTACACACTATTCAATTACGTTTTCCTACTTTATTTTTTGTTGCAGCCATGGTGAAAGTGTACGTCATTACCACATAAAAGTCGATGAAGAGGACCAATTTTACATATCAGATAGACACAGGTTTGATTCAGTTCCTGAACTAATCCATTATCACCAGCATAATAGTGGAGGATTAGTTACAAGACTGAGGCAGCCTCCATCATTTGGAAAGAAACCTTCTACTGCAGGGTTTGGACATGGTAAGTAAGGAATGAATAAATATATGATGGCTGTATGAGAAAAGATCTTATAAAGTGGATAAATAAAAAATAGAAG